TGAGTGGAAGCCATCAGAGAAAAACTAAGCCTGGACAAGCATTAGATTTTATGGACTTTCACGGGGAGAAAGATATCAGGGTCCAGTGCTAGCCCGGACTCTCAATTATTTCTCTTGACCAGATCCCAACATAAACTCTCTGGTCTGGCGTGGAGACACGGAAATAAAGACACGACTCACATGGCTTTATCGGGAGGGAGATTCTCAGTGGTCCCTCATGAAGTCCTGAGTTCACATCCTGAAGAATTCCTGTTCATTTATTCTCCAAACAGCCATGATACAAAAACTTAACTTCGGGGAAATACATTAGCATTCTGTCTCCTAGAACCAGGTGAATGGCTTTTCCTCAAGCCAACAACTACCTGTCTGCTCTGTAAGCTAGCTGTCACTAGGCTTGAATCGGCATCTCTATCAGGCATCCTCCAAATTACAAAGAAAGAAGCAAAACATCATGGCCTTTTGTAAGGTTAGCAACAGCCTGCCTGGCAGGATACGTGACCCATCTCAGGTGTGGCCTATGGCTTGATGGCTTGGCTGCCATGCCATACAGAAATATGGGCCTACGGAAAGAGAACACGGGGCTCCTAATGAAAGACTCAGGAAGACATTCTCTCATTGTAAGAACCTGGTTTTAATTAAAGTCTTAGGAAATCGTTTTTAAAATTAAACTATACAAGCAATTAATCTTCTATTAAATACAAAAGGACAAAATGTACTAGAGAAGAATTGAAGTCAGAAGTAAATTCTATATCTAGATATATACATATACGAGAATGCCACAGAATAGCAGCTCAGTGGTGAGAGTGCCTGTGCTGCTGACCTTCCTCGGCATTAAAAGTTTCGCTTTTCATAATCACCATTATTCATGACCAACTCTGATCCAAACATATCAAATGAGCAATTCCAGAGCGAAACAAACCCACAGCATAGTGAAATCTCCAGGCATCATCAGTTTGCTGAGCGTACACACACTGTATACACTACCTACTGTTAGCCATCCCATGGCCATCTTGGTCATGAGAGCAACTAATTCAGGTATTAGAGTGCTTATGTTTAAGCAATCTTTATTTTACTTAAGAATGACCCCAAAATATAAGATAAGCCATGCTGGCAATTTTAGTAGAGACCATCGTCTTAACTGTTCTGTCTAATGTTACTGCTGCTAATCTTTCACTGCACTACATATGTAACGGAAGGTGGAGAAGGTGGATCCTGAGAGTTTGTTGGCCAGCCGGCCAGCCTAACCAAAGTGCTGAGCTCACAATGAGAGGCCTGTCTCAAAACAATAAAACAGAGAGTGGGGGAGGAAAAAATAACATCTTGCTGTGGCCTCCGCATGCACACACAGAAACACATACACACACACACACACACACACACAAAAAAAAAAAGTTTAAACACAGAATTACATAACCCAGCCATTCCATTCCTAGGTATATACTCAAAAGAAATAAAAACATGTATTTATGTGCAAACCTGTGCATTAATGTTCATAGAAGCATTAATCACAGTAGCCAAAAAGTGGAAACAAGCTAAATGTCCATTAGCAATGAATAAACTGACAAAGTATAGTAGATCCATGCTCTGAAATGCATTTGATCCATGAAAAGAATGAACTGCACATACTACCACATGGATAAATCATGGAAAAAGCACAGAAGTAAAAGGAGCCAAATACAGAAGGCCATGCTTTAGGACTCCTGTATCTATGAAACATACAGAGCATGACCATCCACAGGGACACAAGTCAGTCAGGGAGCTCCAGGGAATGAGAAGGAAGGAAAATATGATTGTTTAGTGGGTACAAGTGGTTTAGTTTTGCTTCACAGTAATGAGAATGTTCTAGAATTAAGTAATTGTTAGAGTGCACGCATTGTGACCATGCTTAAAACCGTGGAAATTTATGCTCCAAGGCTGCTAATATGGTGAAATTTTATGTCAGTTTTATCTCAAAAAGTGCAGGTATAAATAGAATTAGCAGACTGAAAAATAGGTCATAAAAAACTTGAAATGTATAGAAAGGGACAAAAGCATGGGAAACACTAAAGTGAATATAAAGGCACAGAGAAAAGCTCACGCATGCTCAGTTTTGCAAACTTCAAGCATTTATTATTAGCATTTCTCCTCGTTCTTTCTATGTCTGTGTGGTATTTCCTTCTACGGAAAATATATCTAATTCACTTGACTTTTCTGGGCAGCCTATCTCTTCTCTCCAACTTACAGACAATGCAGCACGAACGTTTTATACTGTGTGTTTGTGCAGGCTCTGCTTGGGCAGAGAAGCGGGGATGCTCATTTAGAATTTTAAAAGGTTCTATCAGAATGTCCTCTGAAACAGTTTGCCCATTCACATTCTACCAGGATCTAGAAGCTTCCACTCTTTCCATCCTCACATCAGCCAAGAATACTATTATATGCTTAAGAGCTTTCACCAATTTGACAATTAAAAAAAAAATTCAATTCTGTATCATTTTAATTTATATTCTGTTGGTTCCTAGTGATGTTTCCTGAGAAGAGTCAGGTGGGATGGAGCTGATCCTCTACGAGACAGGGAAGGCAGCAAAGCCAACATCAAGAAAATAGAAGATGACCACTTCAAATGGTAACAATCATCTAGCACTTGGGGAGGAGGATTTGCTGTGTACCAGCTGGGGAACTGGCCACCAGAGAGGAATGGCCTTAAAGCCATCCTAGGGATAAATGAGAGAAAGCATCACAGACACAGTGAGCACACAGACGGGAGGACTGATCTGACTCAGAGTGGGGTTCTAGAGCCCAGAGGAAGGATTCTAAACCAACACATGGCTAGCACCAAGTCCTTCCAGGTCAACCCAAGCTGAGTAAGGCCAAGGAATATGCAGGAGTGAGTGAATGGGACACAGCCATCTTTGGGTAGCCAGCTTCCCAGGCAGAAGGGTGACCTTTGCCTGTCAAGTGCTGGCTCCCCAGAGGCTAGACTTCAGGTGAAAAAGGAAAGACAGGCAGGAGGGAACGGTTGTAGGGATTGAGGGTCAAAGATTGGTCACCTCATTAAGTAAGGAGGGGGAAGGGCAGAAGTCAGAATATACATCTCACAAAACACCCAACACAGAGAGAGAGAGAACTCCCTGTAACCACACAGGGCTTTACTATCATTTTCCTACTTCTTGTTTATAAAAGAAACAGAAATGCAAAGTTGTTCCCTGTCTGATTCATGTTCCATTTCACCCTAAGCAACGCTAAGGGAAAAGAACTATAACCTTTGCAAAAGCAACTCTCACATGCTGGCCATGTTAACCCAGTGACTCCTGTCTGTCAGATGAGTTGGATAAGGAAACTGCCCATTTTCCTGAGGATATTTCTGTTTCCAAACAGTCAGCCCAAACTGGAGCCTCTCCTGGGAGGCCTCACTCAGCAGGCTCAGCTGGGAAGTGCTTCTGCAGATGGCATCTTTCCTAGTAGCCCTCCTTGGGGGTCCTCACATGGCAGGAAAAAAGTGGGGCCTGGGGCTCCCTGTGCTGGGGAGAGGGTGTCTTAGAGCCCATGAAAGCTTTCCCCTTTTTCTTCAAAGCCAAGTACAGCCCGGTTCCCTGCGGGTTGTGAAGTGATTACAGATGCCTTTCCACTGACTTGCTTTTCTGTGGGAGGGAGGACAGTCTGCCCCAAAGCCTTTGAGAGTGGAGACAGGTGCAGCACAGGCTCACAGCAGCAGTGATGACCTGAGAGAATTCCTCCTCCTCCTCCTCCTCCTCCTCTGCCCACTTCAGGTGCTGAATTTTCTTAGTTTCTCACCATGCAACACAAACAGCAACGAAGAAAACTTTTCAGCGTCTCAACAACTTAATCATCTGTCAGACATACTTCTTCCAGCACCCTAGGCCTTGGCCAGAGGGACTTATTAACCAAACAGTTTTTGTCTGGAGTCTCCCCTTGTTAACAGTGTCCGACAGATGATCAATAAGCCAGACAGTTTTGAATGCCAGTCTGAATATTCCCAGGAAGGAGCAAATGTATGGTGAGAGTGGCTAATGAAGCCCTCCATGGGACATTTACCACCCAGCCTGGGCTTCTACTCAGGAGACTAGCTGCTGTCCCTCGTCATATATAAAGGGTTTTGTGGGGAATTTTTCCGCATCTTGTTTGCAGCTGTTCCTCCTGTACTATATCTTTTCCTTATCGTCTGCGGGGACCTAATTACAGTGCCTGGATGGCTTCCCTAATCCATGGCACCTGCTGTAGCTGATCTCATACAGCAGCTGCAGACAGATGTATCTCCACCCACTGACGGTGAACCTGAAGGATGCTGTGTGACTCCAGGAGTCACAATCTGAACCTTCCTCTAGGTTTTTAATACGGCTTTGGAGACACCATTTCCAAGACTATAGATAGCAATTAATTGATAGTGTATATCAACACCTCCCTTCATCCTCATCTGTGCAGGACCCTATGTACAGGAGGTACATTCTCTGTCTTGATAGGAATACTTACCTTCACTTCTCAGATAAGTTACGTAAGGATTAGAAAAGAAACTTCATTTGCTTTAAATAATTTGGCTGATGGGTACCAAAGCTGAACTCACAGTTGTCTGAGGTCAGACTCCTGTTTTTATTCCATTGGAACCTGCCTCATACACACACACCCATACATACACACACACATACATGCACACATATATGTACACATACATATATACACACATCCACACACATACATATATATGCACAGATGCATACACATATCCACACACACATATCCACATACACATATATACACATGTATGCACACACACGCACATACACACACACACACATCATTGACCAGGTATTAGAGGGACACCTACAGAGCCACTAGGTAGGAAATTCAAAGATCTGATCTTTCACAAGAACTACATTCAAACAATGATGCGGCTCCAGTTGGATTTTCTAAGTTTCTGCTGCACCATGAACCGGAGAGCTGGCCCCACAGTAATCTAGCGTGTTCCTGTATCACAAGTCCCTGCCCAGCACGCCTGCTGTCCTTACCATCTCCGCCCTTGCTTGGGTTGGGGGTTTCAGGAGTATTCAGAGGCCTGAGGGGAATGATGACATCATCCGCATTGACCCCTTCTTCACTATGCTTCTCAGAAACGTGGGTCAGGAGTTCCGACTGATTTGGTGAGAAAAGGTTACAACATTTACACATGAAGATGGCTGTATTTTCTGTAAGAAAAAAAAAAACACATATTGTTATTTCTCTGTCACATAAACAGTGATTACTCCCAAGAGCAATAAATAAATAAATAACCAAACAAACAGAGAGAACTGCCGTATGCACTGCCATCAGCCTCCTGCACACTATCTTTCCTTCGCAGACACCTCAGGAGGCATGGATATGTGTGGCTAGAAACCATGAGCTGAGCTCCACAAACTTACAGCTAAAGTGGTACAGACTAAAGCCACTCACAGTAGAAACAAATTTAAAAACACAGTGCCTCACTAACATGTCACCCACAGGCCATGGACAAGCCCTGGTCTGATCTGGGCAATCAAAGATGAATCTAGGCCCAGGCCTGCCAAGAAGTACCCTCATACAACCATGACACAGACAACACAGAACCACTGGTTTTTATAGTTTGCGATGGTGTCACTTCCCACAAGCCTCTACTAGATTAATATTATAATATCATTTCACAGATGTTCTCAGGAGACTGAGAACCTTATGACATTTAGCAGAGGAGAATGTCTAGGGACCCAGAGTTATTACAAGGTCTTTCTCAGGTCTCAGTTCAAAGGCACAGCAAACATCATGTGGAGATTAAATAAATATGACAATATTTTTTTTTTGTATGACAGCACTAGAGAGGGCCTTGGTAGCTACCTCAGCCATCAACTGTTAATTAACATGAGCTTGCCAGGTACCCTCTGCATGTTCAGCTGTTGGGTAGTGGACTATGCCTGCAATTTAAGTGACCAAAAAAAAAAAAAAAAAAAAAAAGCACTGAGACCCAGGGCCACTCCCATAACTGTGGGTTCAGCCAGGCAGTGTGGCCATGAGACAGGGCTCAGTGAGGAAAACTGGACCAGGAAAGGCTGACAGGGACGGAGGCTTCTCCGCATAGCCTGCTAAGAGTTAAGAGTCACAGGAGAGCACGGGGCAGATCCTAGAAGGCACCGCACAGGAAGAGAACTCCCAGAAACTGAGGTGTTAAAGAGCAGAGCAAGGACAGGAACTAATAGGGCTGAGAGGGCCAGCAATGATGGCTTCACTCTCATGGCTAGACGCCAACCCCTCACTCACAAACTGCACCCGCGCCCTGAAGTCCTGCCCTGCTGAGCTCCACCAGGCCCACCACACCAGGGGTGGTGGTTGGGGGATAGATTTGTTCACCTACTCTACCAGCAATCAGCAACAGCCTCAGCTGCATGAGGAGACTAAGAAAATGCTGGCACGATAGAGGGTCCACTAAAGGGGTGTCAGGAGCAGAGAAGGGACATGAGGGACATGCAGATCTGCAGAGAAGAAACACACGCCAGGCAGGGCATTACTACGGATGGGAAATGAAGGACAAAGGGCAGGCAGGTGAGGGCCTCCGCTTTACTACTACCAACATATTTGTGTCTTCAATGACTGTCTGCCCCAGACACCCAGGACAGAGCACAGGGCATGCCCTCTGGAACACAGGCCTCCAACATAGACAGTGACTTCTTGGAGATGTTTGTAAAGCCATGCATGAAAACCAAAGTGTCAAAGCATATTATAAGAGGTGCTGTACAATGCTGTTACCCCCCCCCCCGAATGCTAAGGATTATTAATATACCAACATAAAAATAGGAAAGCCACTTTTCTTTCTACAGTAGCCAGATATGAAAAAGTGTATCTTATATCCTGAAATATAGTCATAATTATGTTGTCAGCTGGCTCTGATGAAGATGTGATAATTTGGGTACATTCTGGGGTCCAATTACTATGCTCTCCTCCTTAACAAAAGAACTCAGAGAGAAAATGACATGCTCAGCACAAGGAGACCCACAGCAGTCTGGAGTATGAGCATGCAATTCCCCTGAATTATCTGTTGGCTGGAGGCAGTTACTCTGCACTGTTACAGAGGAAACCCTTAAGATGCTGGAAAAAAAATAATTCCTCGTTTCTAAGCTAAGGGCCAATCAGGTCCTCTGTGGACCTCTGGCCTACCTGTCCTGGGGACCCTGAGGACTCTGCCCCAGACCTCCCAGAAGATGACCATGAACTAGAGTTTGAGTCTGGGGTCCCAGGAGATGATGATGCATTATGGAAGCCATGGGCTGAAGTCACAGGATGTAATCAATGTGAAGAATATTCTGGCACCAAGCATACTATCTAACACTCTGTGCTGTTGTTCCTTTTAGCTCCATTCAGCGTAACTAGAACAGAACAGGGTTCTGGCATCTGCGGTCTCGGTTCTTATGCTAGCCCCTGTCCTAACGAGGTCATTTACTACTGAAGTAAGAATATGAATTTATGTTCACTGTGAAACAGACACAAGCAGATTTAGAGTCAATAGAATCACTGAGTGCCTGATACATCTCCTTCAGACCTACTGTGTATCAGACACAAGAGTCAGACAGAGACTAAGGGAGGGTCCACCTCATATCGGTAAAGGCCTTTTCCATCCTTAAAAGGCCCCCATGACCACTCCAGCTCTAGACACAGCATGGGGAAAGGCAGAAGAGACACTGGCTTTCGCTGGCATGGACAGTGGAGTCAGGAGCCCTGGTTAAAATCTCACAATACTCTTCCTTACAGAAATAGCCTCAGATTGTGACTGTCTACACTAATGGTTCTCAACCTGTGTGTCATGACCCCTGTGGGGTCACAAGGGTGACAAACAGATATCCTGCATATCAGACATTTTATACTACTTTTCATAATGATAGAAAATTACACCTATGAAGTAACAACAAAATAATTTTGTGGTTGGGGGGGTCACCACAACATGAGGTATAAAGGAACTGTAAGCTATTTTGTGAAGCTGCTCAGGACTGGATGTCAGGGTTCCTGCATCTATAGGCAGGACTGAAATCCTTGTAACTCAACATGCAAAAGGCTGGAGGCAGGTGGCCCAGAATGCTGAGTTTGTTTCATCTAACTCAGGTTGTGAACCCTGAGTAGAACAGAGCTCAGGACTCTCGGGAGGCAGGCATACACATGTGCCTGGGGCAACACTCAGTACGTGGCCAGTTTCTACATCCTACACTTTCCTGCAGGGCACTACAAGGCTGACATGCTTCTCAGCAAGAGTCTCGCCGCCTAATGAAGCCAGACTCTGACAACCCAGACCCTGACGAGAGGGAGACAGCTGCTGGCACCTTCTCAGCACCCTGGACTCCGAACTCTCCTGAAACTGATTTTATCCACGTTAAAGTGACCAAAATGAAAAAAAAAAATCTTAAGGCCAGCTGGGGGCAAGACAAGGCATGGCAGGTGAGAGCCCAAGGCACACTGAGGAGATGCAGAAGCTGGAGTCAGAATATGGGGAGTGGCCGTGCTAGGGCATCCTGCACAGACAGACACCCTTCGCCAGAGGCGGCCCAGTACACACCTGCCGTTCCAAACACTGCAGCCAAGGGTCCCAGATGGATGGGGTAGATGAACTCTTTCTTCTCACTAGGACTAGCTAAGAGCACAGAGCACTGCACGTAAGGTAAACACAAGGAAACTCACACTTGAGACAAGTCAGCTCGCAACCATGGGACCTGGGAAACAGCACAGCAGTGACACGCTTTGGATTGTGTCCTGCCTCCTGCATCTAGCCTGGAGCTGAAGAGGTTATAGATCTGGAAACGACAGCCCAAGCCTGTTTTCCATCCAAAGGACAAGCAAGTGCAAACAAGCAAAAGAGGCACACTCTTCCCACCATGACCAAACACCTCAGTAAACAGCGGCCCTGGCCCCATCCCACATTCAAAAGTTGAGAGGGAACCAGAACTGTCACAAGCATCCGGCCATAATGACATGCCAGCCCTCACTCCACTTAAGTGCTACAGGAGAAGAAGCACTGAGATCTGTCAGCCCTGCTAGTCCTGGTTGGCCTTGATACAGCAGCAGAGGCACTCAAGAGCCTAGACTCCACTGTCCTACCGAATATTGTAAGAGTCAGTAAGGATTTAAATTCCCCCAGCTCTCCCAAGAGTCAATGCAGGTAACGTGGAGTCTAGACTCCATCACCTAGCCTAGTGGAAGTCTAGACGCCACCATCCAGCACACTGGGAGCCTGCACTCCAACACCCAGCCCAGGGGGAGCCTGAACTCTGAGATCCAGCCCAGTGTCGAATGCAGCAGCAGGAAGGATGAGTTCAATTCCACTGGAAGTGGTGTCACCCTCTACAACAGAGCCAAGGGAGCCAGTCGAGGCAGAGTATGGAAGACCCAGGATTTCACACCTCAGACAGCCAGGATTCAGTCCCCGTTCACTCCCCATGGCTCATCAAGAAGCAGGGGGAAAATATGTGGAAGGACAGAAGGCCATGAACAGACATCAAGATGACACAGACAGCAGGATGATTTGATGAGGACTAAAGCAACCATCACAATAAAAAAAAAAATGTCTTCAAAAGCAAATTGAACTGGGGGGTTCCTCACTGATAGACAAAGTAAAGAAATACCAACTGGAAGGTTTAGAACAGAAAACTAAAGCAACTACTACTAAAAAAAAAAATAACATTCAAAAGCCATCAATGGTGAGCTCAAAACAAGATTAAAAAAAAAAAAAACAGGAAAGGTGGTGGTGCTGATGCAAAGAAGCAGGATACATCAGAGGCTCAAAGAGGACCGTGAGTAGCACGCAGGTACCCAAGGACCACAGCAACAAAGCTAAAACTCTGTCATCAGAGCTCAGGGATGAGGAAAAGATGTTGAAACTGGGAAAAATGTGGTAAGAAAGGACAACTGAGAACTTCCAAATTTTTAGAAAAATAAACGAATGGACTGAAGAAGTTAAGCCAATCTCAAACAGTATAAACTTCAATAAACTTACTCCAAGAAATATAATTAAACATTTGAGAAGTAAAAATAAAGAAATACGGTTAAAAAGTAGCAAGAGAGGAAAAATAACACATTTCCTATCAAAAAAAAATCATTTAGGAGACAGCAGATTTCTCAGCAGACAGTAGAGACCAGAAGGAAGTGACACAATCCATCTAATTTCAAGCACACTGCTGAGACTTGTGGGTAGGAAGAAACA